CCCTCCCTCCCTCCCTCTCCCTCCCTCTCCTCCCCACGTCCCTGTCTTGTCTCTCTAGCTCCCTCTCCTCCCTCTCCTCCCTCTCCTCCCTCTACCTCACCATCTCTCCTCTCACCACTAAATATCTTCTCTCCCGCCTTCTCTTTCTGCTCTCCCTCCCTCCCGTCCTCAACTCACATCCCTCTTTGCGCCCCTCCCCAGCTCCATGCTTCCCCAGCTCCATGCTTCCCCAGCTCGGCTCACTTCCTTACCCTATCTCACCCTCCTCTTGCGCGCATCAACATTTCTTCGCCTATCTTATATCCCCCATGTCTTTCTTCCCTGGGTCGCGCGTCTCTATCTTTGCCCATTCTTTCCATGGCGCATCAGCTACCCTGCTCTTTCTCTTCCTCAGCGTCTCATCTGTTCTTCTTCTCCTCCTGGTCTCTTTAAAGCGTCTTCGTGTGATAGTGTACTCCTGCTCCGCTCTTGCTCTCACTATTCTACCTCTGCCCTTACCCAGCATCGTCTCTCCGCAACAAAGTCTCGTGGCCATCATCCTCAGAGACGTGCCTGCTACTCGTTGCTGTCCATGAATTGTTTTCTCGTCGCGTGTCTCAAGAGATGCGGATGGATCTCTCTTGCATCGGTTGACACGGTGTTGCAGGATCGAGACATGTCTGCCCGCGTTCCCCTCGCGCTTCTTCTCTTCTTCGCTGGCTCTTCTCATGCCTACGTGCAAACATTCTCCAGTCTTGTTCGAGTCCGAGCTCACAGCAGGCAAGTGCGAGGGGCCCTGGGGTTGCGAGCAGAGGTTGCCAAGAACGGAGTAGCTAGCAAGATTGCGTTGGTGGCGTTAGGATGCCCCAAGAACACAGTCGACGCCGAAGTCATGCTGGGAGATCTGAAGAAGAGAGGATTCGACATTGTCAGGAGGCCTCGAGGTTTTTACGCTCCTTCTTCTCCTACCCCCTCTCACTTTGTTCAGATGCGGATGTAGTGATAGTCAACACCTGCGCTTTCATCGAAGAAGCTAAGACGGAGTCTGTGCAGGTACTCCTGTCCGTCCCTTCCCCTCTCTCTGCTTTCCTTCTCTCACCTCCCCCTTGCCTTGCTTTCTCGCTCTTTGCCTCTCTCCTCTTCCTCCTCTCTTGCCTAGTTCAACTCCTCAGACATGCGCTCTGCCTCTGTCAACGAGTGAGCGCAGGCTGTGCTGGAAGCAGTGGATCTCAAGAAGTCAAGCGCCAAGGGAGTCGTCATTACAGGGTGCATGGCTCAGCGGTACGCGCAGGAGCTCGCGGACGAGCTACCTGAGGTGGACGCGGTGGTTGGATTCGAGAAGTACGCGGACATCGGCAACCAGATCGAGAGCATCATCACTAAGAGCGGCTTCGCCATGCCCGAGGTGGCGGTGGGTAGCACGGACGTTCCGTTCCGCCCTGAGTGGGAGAGAGTGAGGATCACACAGCAGCATGCGGCCTTCTTGCGCGTGGCTGAGGGATGCGATCACAAGTGCACGTTCTGCGCCATCCCGAGCTGGCGAGGACGGTTCAGGTCCAAGTCGTTCGACGCCATCATGGAGGAGGCGCGAGAGCTGGTGGCGACGGGGGTGACGGAGCTGAACCTCATTGCGGAGGACACGAACCAGTGGGGCCAAGACTTCGGGGCTGCAGACAAGAGGAGGCTGGCGGATCTACTTCACTCGCTGGCAGGGATCGAGGAGGTCAGGAGGATCTCGCTGCTCTACTGCTACCCCAGCTACTTTAGCGACGAGCTCATCGACGCCATCGCCAGCATCGACAAAGTCTGCAAGTACATCGACATGCCTCTGCAACATATCTCCGACCCCGTGCTCAAGGCTATGAACCGTCCTCCCCGCGAACACACTGTCTCTCTGCTCAAGAAGCTGCGCGAGAGGATCCCGGGGCTGGTGCTGAGGACGACGTTCATCTCGGGTTTCCCGGGAGAGACGGACAAAGACCATCGCGAGCTCGTGGACTTCGTCAAGGCGATGAAGTTCGAGAGGGCGGGAGTGTTCGCATACTCGGAGGAGGAAGGAACTCCCGCAGCGAAGATGCTGGATCAAGTGCCTGCTGACGTGAAGGAGAGGAGGCGCGACGAGCTCATCAGTATCGTGCAGAAGTGTCAGAGGAAATTCGCGGAGAGCCTGGTGGGCAAGCGAGTGGAGGTAGTCATCGACAAAGTGGGAGAGGGAGGCTTCGGATCAATCGGGAGGACTCGAGCTGACGCTCCTGACATCGACTGTGTCGTCCACCTCGCGCAGACTCTGCGACCAGGAACGTACGTGGACGCGCACATCGTCGACACCTTCGACTTTGACCTCGTCGCTGACGCCGGCGACGTCATGGTGTCACCGGAGGAAGCTGACGACATCGTTAAGGCCGCTATGCAGTGAGTCCTCGAACTTGTTTAATGTATCGACTTTAGTCGGACCCCTCCGTCTTGGCTCTCTTCACGTGTCCGTTCCCTTCCCCTGCCGCAATGGTTTCTGAGAAGACCCTCTTGCTGCCAGCCTCCGCCTCTGCTTGCTTCGAGTCGCAATGGCCGAGCTGCATAGAGTAAGGAGAGGGAGGAGTGAGATGGAGGTCATACCTTAGCAGTGAGGCGATTGAGCAGCTGGACAAGCTTGGCGTCGCTCTTGCTCTTCTTCATCTCTTCCAACGTCTCCTTCAAGTCCCTCCGACCTTCGAAAACTCTGGCCATGACGTCTGACCATGCCTCCTCCCGCACGCTCCTCGACTCGAAGCAGTCGGCCCAGAAGGCGAGGACCTCGAGCAGGCTGCTCAGCTCACACTTGACGTCGCTCTCCTCCTTCGCCTCGTTTGCGCCCGTGCTCAGCTCCAGCAGCCTCTCCAGCGACGCTCCCAGCATGAGCGGGTGCAGCGTCGCCCACCTGGCTAAGCTGGAGACGCAGACGCTCTTCCACAGGGTGGAGGGCAGGCGGAAGAGAGGCCCCACCTGCAGGGTGGAGGGCTCAGGCCGGTGGAGGAGGACGGCAAGTCAAACTCACGAGGCCGACGGTCGGCTGACTCGTCGACAAGATTTGAACGACCCCCATGACGACCTGCCGTGCGCTCAGAGCCCAACCCTCACCAGACAAGCCGACCTCAGGATGCGATGCTGACTCAGCAAACTGCAGGAGTTTGGGTACCAGAGTCTCCACCGCCTGCGTGTCAAGTGAGGACGACGAGAAGCCACGCCAGCGGCTCACATGCTGATGCCTCGCCAGCTCTGCAGAAAAAAATTGCCACAACGCATGCTGATCGGTTGCATCCCACTGCAGAGACCTAAAGTTCAAGTCAGCGAGAGAAATTCCCGCATCGGATGTTCACCTTGCGATCAGTGAGAGAATCTTGTCATCCCATCCGCTTGATGCTGTTTTGAGCCCCTCGTGCCGGAAAATGAGCTCCATCTCGCCTGCAACACCATCAAAACAGCGGAGAGCAGCCGCCTTGGGGACCGAGCGAAAGGCTTGTGAGGAGATCGCAAAGGGTTGAAGGAGTCAAGCAGCCCGACACCAGATTCACAACCTGAACCAAGCACGTCACTTGCCGCGTCTCACACAACGGCCGCACCTCTTGTGATCCAACCACGATCCCATTGAACTCCTTCGCAACCGGGGGCAGCACGACTGCCACGTTCTTGTAGTCGTCGGCGAAGAGCTCACGGAAGTCTCGCATGAGGTAAGACTCCAGCACCTTGTCGCTGTCCATCCCGCTCTCATGGCTGTCTCGAGCTTCTTGTTCGAGTAGCTTGCGATAGAAGGGAAGCGCTTTCTCAGACGCTTTCAAGTCACCAGACTGCATCAGCATGCAGGCAGATAGAGTGTACAGCAAACTAGTTGAGACCTTCTTGTTCAGCGCCTGCATCGATTCATTGTCAGACGCCCAAGACTGATGAGGCAATCTTTCTTTTCTTACCTGCATGCTGCTGGCAATGTTAATCGCGGCTTCCTGTACAAGCTTCTCGCCGTCTCTAGATATTGATTCCAATATTCGAAAGGAAAGGAACATCAAGTTGCTTTCTTTCACTTTCGCGATCGTTTCACAGGTTGGAGCAAGCAGTGGGCCATTGATTTCGTGCTCTATGAGGTTTAGCAGGACATCGCCCATCGCTTTGAGTGCATTTTTCTTCTTGTCATTCCCTTCGAAATGCGCAACACTCCTGACAGCATTTGACAAACAGTCTTTGAATAAGGTTGGATTCCGGTTGCTGGAAGCTTCTTGCAAACTCTTGAGTTGTTTCGAGATATCAACCAACACGTTGGGTATCTCAATCACGTCTCGTGGCTTTGCAACATCTGGAGGGCACAACAGTGAGATACAGCATCGATGATGTTACTTGACTTCACCCTCCGAATTCGCTCTTGAAAAATGTTCAGTATCCTCCTCCCCTTCAGTGTTCTCCGGCCCTTTGACTAAACAACAACAGACTCGCTTACTTGAATGCCCCCCCGACAAGAAAAGAAGCACCTGATGGCACTGAGTTGGAGGCCGACGAGTGATTTGAGCTCGCAGTAGATGAGGCTTCCATTGCCGAGGCATCCACCGAGGACGACGAAGAAGCAGAAGGCAGCCTTTGATTCTCGTCGAATGAGGAAGAACTCTGCAGCGTTCGCGGTGACAAGGGCTCATCTTCGGAAGTCTGATGTTGAGAACGCGATTGCACCTGTCCCGTGACCGTTACAAGCATCGCACACTGAGATCAAGGGCCATGCCATCTTACACTCAGATCAAGGAACATGTCATCGCACACTCAGATCAAGGAACATGTCATCGCACACTCAGATCAAGGAACATGTGTCACTTACTGGTGATGGTGTCGGTGCCCCCCCATGACTTGACGAGCTTCTGAATCCAAACGCCTGAAGGACCAATCAGCGAGGAGCTGAGAGCACAACGACCCATCACCTTGACGTCCTCTACCGCAATTTCCTCGGGATCCCCTGGGCAAAATCCTCGGAATTGAGCTCGAACACGCGCCCTCAACACTGGGTTGATCTGGGGACACGTGGACACCTGGGCCCACGACTTTATAACTCCTTTCTGTACACAATCCGCAGCAGCATGGAAGATCCCTTCTCGACATCTATCTACAGAGGGCTTGCTCCATAAATCTGCCAGCGCAAACATGAATTCCATCAGGTCCACTGTAATATCAAGCCATTTGGGGATGGATCGGGTAATCAGAAGAGCCGCTGGTTCAATGTTCATGACCGAGTCATTGCGGGGAGAGTAGAACAGCCAGTCATAAAACATGGCTAGTTTGATGTTTGCCACACTTGTGGGGGTTTTGGCGCACTTGAGGAGCCAACCTACAACAGCCCATCTTTGAACCAAATTACTCCTGAGAACCTCGTTGGATGGGTGGTGAAAGCCACATATGTATCTCACAAGGTCAGGTATCAGCGCGTCACCTCCAGGCTCCATCAGGCCCCATTTCTGCATGAACCACCTCTGATACCGCTGCTGCTGGCCCATCGTAACCCGTTCCATTATAAACAACAGTTGTTCTTCCATTTGAGGTGTAAGGCGGCTCTGTAGAAAATCTTTGGGGGTCCTCACTGAAAACAAATCTGAGATATCGGTCATGCCCCCGAATTGCTGCGGATTGTTCAGAATGTCCTCCCAGAGCCCCTCAAACTCAGGTATCTTACAGACTTGCTGTAAAAGTCGCACAGCTTCTCGTCCGATCACCTTGCACTCACTGAACTTGTCTCTGAAGAGATCACAACAGAGTTGTCCTTCCATCCTTCGCAGTTTATCATACTTTGGATCAGCATGATCGGCAGCAAGACGGCAGAACGTATAAAAGACCATAGGAATAAGCTGTGTTTGCTCGTAAAGCCAGGTTTTTGACTCCTGAAACAGCATGCAAAGGTTTGTGTTCAGCCATCGATTCGTAGCGCTACGGACATTACCACCCTGAATCTGACGGAGAAGAGCTATACACACCTTATCTATTCCCTGAACCTTTAGATTCACAAATTCTCGCACGACCCACAGCAACTGCATCTGCTGCTGTGACGGTTGTGCGGCATTCCTGTCATTCATCTTCGGGAATTTGTCCCGTGCCAGTTTTTCCAGCTGCTTCACACAGACCGCGTATCCATCTTTCACAATAAGATGCAGGTAGCGCAGAAACTGCTGTGAGCGAGTTCGATCGCAGATCATCCCACACAGCAGCGCCTGCACCATATGCGTGTGCCCTTGCACCTGCTGGCATTTCTCATGCAGCTCAGTTTGGATAGCTTGATCATTGTCGTTGGTATGCTGTAGAATCTCCTCAAGCTCTCTGTAGTCTCCAAGCCAGATCTGCTCAAGCTCGTCCAGCTCGTCGATCTCCGTCAACTTTAGCAGCCGTATGGTGGAGCTGCCTTTGGTAGTCATGGTTACAGAATCTCCCTCCTGCTTTTGATCCGATGTTCTGAAAAGATGACCAGTACTAAACAAGTACAGGAGTGAAATGTTTCAGGTAAATCCCCTCAAGTCAAGGCTCCTGCAATTCGGATTCACTTCTTGAGGCGAGGCCTCCCCCTGTGCTCGCGTTGCAATCCTGTGCTCTTGCACTTCCGTCAACTGAACAAGAGAGCCATGGGGGGATTCAGAGGGCGGGATGGGTGAGTGCATGAAAGTTCTGTACAGAAGAAGGTGCGATCATCTCCTCTCTCCTCTTCCTCTCGCGTCTTCCTCCTCTTCCTCTTCCCTCCTCCCCGCCATCAGCCGCGGACGCCACCACATACAAATTTTACTCAAAATGCTCACCCCACCCCTTAGAACTAAATCATTTCTCACCCACCCAGCCTAGAAATTTACCACCCCTTCCTTCTACGAATTGTACCCCCAAAAATTTCCTTTGATACCACCCCAGCTAAGCGCGATAACCCCAGTGGATTCACTACCCACCATATATCCATTCACTTGACTACCCACCTGTCTCTCTATGAGTCCATCTCAATGGCACCACCCGCACCTTTGCAATAACCCTACCCTACTTTAGAGCTCCTTCCAAGGGGAAAAGCAGGGGTCTGAAGGTGGGTTGCCATGATGATGGTGTGAAAACTTGACAGGACACAGGGGTAGTCTATCAATAGGAGGGGGTATAGCAATGAATTGGCTGGGTGGTGGTGAATTTTGTTTCCGAAGTTCTGACTTTGGGGGTTCGATCAGAGCAATAAATTGTCAAAAATATAGGTAGGGGTACTTGATAGAAGGGTACTTGAGCATTCAGACGGGTAGTGCTCAGGTCAGATGGGTGGTGTTCATGGGGTAGAGTGTTTGGGGTTGACAAAGCTTGTCAAGCAATGGCAAGCAGTAGAAATCTCTGTGAGAAGCGAAGGAAGAGGGGGGGAAGGGAGGACAGATACAGTGAGACAGAGACAGAGACAGAGAGAGAGAGAGAGAGAGAGAGAAAGAGAGAGAGAGAGAAAGAGAGAGAGAGAGACGAGGGAAGGAGAGGGATAGTGGTAGTCAGTGGTGGTGGTGGTGGGGTGGGGAGTATACCAACGATACTGTCACTGAGAACGATCTCGCTCAGGTTCAAGGGCTGAAGTGGGAGGCTGCCTCGGGCTCCCAGGTTCAACATGCCTGCTCCCGAGATCAGACGCCAAGAGTCTGATCGGGTCTTAGTGGACGCGATCCGGCTCAGGAAAAAATCTGCTAAGAACGTCGTGTATGGGAAACGAGCGCAGAGCCTTCCTGTACTCATCGATCGTGCTGAGAGCTTTGCTTCGCTGTCCTCGATGTCACAGAGTGACCACAATCCTTTCAGTAGCAGGTGCTCGTCATTCCTAGTTGTTGACGATTATTCGGATGCTCCCATCTCGGAGAGCGTAGGTGTGGACTACATCCATTTCTACATCACCAACTCTCCTTGCTTCAATCTCTTCTGCATCCTGTTCGACGACAAGCTCCGCCCGCTGGAGATTGTCTCTCATCAGCACAGGAGAGCGACGAGCTCAAAGATCATCTACAGAACGAGGACACCCGAGGCGCCGCCGAGGATATGCATGAACGTGGAAGCCATCTCCACTTTCGTCACCCACATCGTCTTCTTCCTCAAGTCCAACGAGAGGCTGCCACAGCAGCAGGAGACCTCCGTGTCGCTGCACGTCATGAAGTCGGATCTGCAAGAGATGATCTGCTCCTATGACGTGAACATGCTGTCGGGCGAGCAAGGAGCCGTTGGGGACGCGGTGGTGTGCTCCCTCTATCGCAACGACAAAAACGGCTGGGGGCTGAGGAGCGTCTGTAAGACGGTGAACAGGACAGTCTTCAGGACGCAGGCGCTTGTGGAGACCGTGAGGTGACGTGGCAGGCGTGACATGCGCTGACTACGGGCAGGTGCAAGAATGGATGCTGGAGAAGAAACTCTTCCGTCCGTTCCAAGTGCATGTGGAGTACTGCACTGCTGCTAGGCCTTCCTTCTCCCTCTCTGGGTGAGGAGGAGAAAGACAGGGAGGACAGGATAGGGAAGGGGAGGGAAGGAGGAGGAGGAGGCAGGAGGATGGGCAGAGGAGGCGAAGGAGATGACAGTGTTGCAGATCCTCCAAGACTTTCGAGAAGATTTTCTGCCAGGTGAAGGAGCTGCTGGAAGAGCGAAGTCGACTGGTGAGGGTGTACGGGAACGAGGAGAAGAGGGAGAGGAGGAAGCCGAGGATAGGAAGCTTCGAGGTGGAGCTGTCAGGATTCCCTGGGGAGGGTGGAGGAAGGAAGAAGCTGTTTTCCAAGTTGGAGGAAGAACATTTCCCGGATCCTGCGGAGGTTGTGCGGAGGTTTGAAGGAGCGCTGAAACAGATGCTCCTACCTGCCATCTCAACTTTCATCCGCGCAGCTCGAGATGTGCAGGTGCTTCGAACAGGACGGCTATGAAAACGATGGTGGTGGTGGTGATGATGACGATGATGACGATGATGATGATGATGGTGGTGGTGGTGGTGGCGGCGGCGGCGGTGATGATGATGATAGCAGTGATGATGATGGTAGTGGCGGTGATGATGATGACGACGATGACGACGACGATGATGATGATTGAGACGTGGTGTTAGTTACCATGGCGACTTCGAATCTTACATTCACATCATGCTGACAATATTTCAGTTCGAGGTGATAGATCAAACTACAAATCAGCGAGTCCACAAGGTCACCGCCGATTTCTACATCGTCAAGGGAGGCGTCGAGCATCAGGGCAGAGAGAAGGAGGGAGGAGGCGAGGAGGAGGGCGAGGAGGAGGGCGAGGAGGAGGGAAGCTATCAGGGGAGGGAAGGAGGGGCTGGTGCAAGTCGCTCCTTCCTTGGGTCGTACGACTTCATTTCGGATGATCTTGTCCTCCTTGTCGACTCGAGGTACCGGTGAGTCATGGCAGGTTGAGAGCGAGGACGAAAGAGAGAACGGGGAGAGGGGAGAGGAGAGAGGGGAGAGAAGGAGGAGAGGAGAATGAATCATTTTGTCAGGGTGAAGTTTTCATGTGAAGGATATCAGGATAATGAACAAGTGGTTGACATCCCAGAAGACCTCAGCGATGGTCAGGTAGTCGACTTCTACTTCTACTTCTCCTCTCCTCCTCCATCCTTCGAATCCTTGCACTCTGCCCTGCCCGTCTTCCTGGCTCAATCATTTTCATTCTTTATCTTTCTCCAAGCTCCAGCCGACCTTTCCTCCTCCTCCTCCCTTCCCTTTACTTCCTTCTCTTCCCGCTCTCCATCCTTATTTCTCCCGCAGGTGATCACCGTCTTTCTGATCCCTCAGCGAGTAGTCGTGCAAGGACGGATAGTCGTCCGAGAGTCTTCCTCCTCCTCCCCTCGCCGCGCGCTTCCTCTCCGCAACGTCATCGTTGAGCTTCGCAGCGGCAGCGACGTCTGGGCGGTCGCACCCAACGAGCAGGACGGCTCCTTCCAGCTCCCCGTCCCCCGCGGCTCCTTCATCCTCTCCATCCGCTCCAAGGAGTATGTCAGCAGCTCCCCGGAGCTGCGGGAGGGGAAGAGGCTGGAGCTGCGAGGGGACGCAGACGTTGGCGACTTGCTCCTGCGCTGGTCGCCCCATCGCGCTCGCACGCTGCTGACCATGGAGAGGCAGGAGAGCGATGGAGCTCAGCTGGAGTTTCTCCTCAGCTCTCGCCCTCCCTTCTATCGGCTGAGGCTCAAGGAGGAGGAAGAGAAGATGTTCCGCCGCCTGTGCTCGAGACTCTCTTCCATGCGCTCACACCTCCTCTCCTCGGGACCTCGGGGCAAGGAGGATGAGGAGGAGGAAGCGATGGAGGAGGAGGAGGAGGAGCGATGGAAGAGAAGGCTAGAGGGGGAGGCAGAGACTGACTCTGCTCCCCGCCCCTCAGAGATTCTTCGATCTCTTGCTTGCAACCTGCTCTTTGAGCAAGAGATAGTCTGCCCGTACACTTCAACCCTCCAGGTCAGTGAACTGGCCCACCCCCTTCCTTCCCCTTCCCCTTCCCCTTCCTCTTTGCATCCAATTGCTCCACTTCGCTTCTCCGCTCCTAACCTCTCCGCCTCTCTGTTGTCTCAGGTGTTTCGTGGAACCACATCCCGCGGTCCCACCTTCTTCATCCTCATCCTCTTCCGCTCCTCCTTCAACTGCGCCTGCGACCTTCAATCCTCCCACCTGCTCGACTTTCACCTGGACGTCTCCCCGCAAGACTCCAGCACACAGAGTCTCCTCCTCCTCCCCCTCCGCCTCCCCCACGCTCTCTTTTGGTCCTCGTCTCCTTCTTCTCCTCTCGAGCTGAGAATTTCCCCAGCTCGTTCACCCCCAGCAAGGAAGCCAGCTACGTCATCACTGCCAAACTCCGCGGGCAGAACCTCAGGTTCTCACCTCTTCAGATCAGGCCTGGAGGTCAGTCGGAGGACGCAATCTACTTGTGGGACTCTCCTCCTCGGTTTTTTCCCTCCCCTCCTCCTCCAGCCAGCAGGCGACTTGAGGTAAGCACCAGTTCTCTTTCTCCTTCCGCTCACTTGTTGCAGATGGAAGTTGGTATCCTCCTCCATTCTACCCACCAGCTCTGGAGAGACGGCAGCCTCCTCCCCCTCTTCCTCCGACGCCTCTCAGACCGTGTGTCCTCTGTTTCCCTGTGCTGGTTCCTCCTGCTCCTGGAGGGTGGTGCAGTACAAGAGCTGCGCATGCCAGACGGGACGGTCGTGCCGGTAACTGCATGCGAAGACGTGGGGGAGGCTCTCGTGCTCCTGAACAAGAGGGACTGGAAGCGCGGCTCCTGCCGTCTAGTCTTCTATCTGAAGAGCTTTCCTGGGGGAGCGGAAGGGGACGAGGAGCCTTCGGGGAGGAAGGAGGAGGAGGAGGGAGGAGAGGAGGAGATTCTCAACCCCATCACCTCCCAGCTTGTGTTGCAACTTCGACTCATGAACGTCTCGCTCCACGTGCTCGGGGGGAGCGCGAGGAAGGTCAAGAAATTCCACCACCACCGCCGCCACCTCCTCCCATTCTCCCTCCTCTTCCTCCTCCCCTTTGTTTCTCCTCTGTTCACACGGAAACGGCAGGACATCAGCGAGTGGCTGAGCAGCTGGACTGGAGGGTCTTTGTCCTTGGTGTCAGCTGGAGACCTTGAGCAGAAGGCGCGTCAACCCCCTCAGCTCGGCTGCAGCTAACTTTCCACGGGCAGATGGGCGAGCGGATGGCTACGGCGGCGAGCTACGAGGTCTACGAGGAGGCAGTCGCAGCTGGCGCCATCCTTGAGGTGTTTTCACGCTCCAGCTGCCTGCGGCTCATGGCAGAGCAGCGCAAGCAGATTCAAGAATCCTTCTCCTCCTCCAGTAACAGCGACTTCATTCACCGAGTTCTACGACTCGAGGTGCTGGAGGCATGTCACCTCTCTCAGCTCACTGCCCAGCAGCCCTCCAGCTCTTCCCTCCGCGACTTCCTCGCAGCGGTCGGCAGGCTCCAACGCCGCATGGACGAGGCGAATAGGGAAGACTCTCCTCCAGCTGCTGCTGACCTGCTGCCTCAGGCCTACCTCCAGCTCCGGGCCCGCGCCAACTTTAGCTCTTTCCTAGTAGCTGGTCCTGTCTTGTTCCTCCAGCTCACGCTGCCGGCCAGGAGGACGAGAACGACGAAGGCATCCTCGGAAAATTTGAAGTTCTGCAAAGAGGTCTCCTCCTCCTCTTTCTCCCTTTCTCGGTGGCTGACGCTGCAGCTCAGCCCTCGAGGACGTCGACTGTCTTCTCTTCGCTGCCCTTCCACTTGTCAATGCATGAGGCTCTCAAGCGTGCCCCCGCCCCCGCCCCCGCCCCCGCCCCCGCTGTCCTCGGTATCCTCCTCGTCCCCGCGGCATCCCTCGATCCGCTTGTCCCTCCCGTGGCGTCGAGTTGTGATGACCGCGGCCTCGAGCATGCGACATGTCGGCAGGAGGCGCGTGAGGCATCGCGCCGTAGCCTCCCCTCTCCGCCATGGGCATGTGCTGCCCTCCGCGCCCTTGCGAGTAGTAGGCAGCGCGAGCAGCTGGAGGAGGAGATGAGAACAACAGAGGGAGAATTTAGGATCTCACCTGCTCTTGACATGGGCTGAGGGGTATGAGGAGGAGGAGCGCTAACGGGAGCTCCGATGGAAACAGAGCCTGTGGCTATGATCGCACTGTCGAACGGCATGGAAGGAGGAGGAGGGTGGTGTCCCATCCGAGCTACAGGTCGGTCAGCGAGCATGGAGCTTCGACACCCTCCTCTCACCTGCATGGCCTTCATGTGGAAGTGACGTCGAGATGTTCATGCGCCCGAGCATTCGATGTAGTCCCGCGAAGTCGTTTTGACCCTGAGCAGGACCAGGAGCAGGAGCTAGAGGACGAGGAATCATTGGGGTCGCGCTGATGACCGCCGGATCCTGCGGGAAGACCGGAGCATGATGATGAGCCGATCCCGCGGCAATGATGGCGCTGTCTTGAAACACCTCGCGACTCTGCCCGTTGACCTGGTGCTGAAGGATCTTGACACCGTTGCCAGCATGAGGGTTAGGAGCAGGAGCACTGCGAACGGCGTTCCTGTTCACGTGCTGCCTCGGCGCTTGATTGGACTCGTGGAACTTGTTGTTCCCAAGGATGCTATTCTTCCAACTGGCTTCCGTCGACAGCTTGTGCTTGTTCCTCGATCGGTCGCTCAGGCACAAGACGCTCTCCGCGTTCATTCTGTAGCCCCTGAACTCCGAGCACCTCCCCCCGAGCGTGTTGAGTGACACGACCTTGTGGTCAAAGACAACGTCGACGAATGAAGATTCGACACAGACGACCGTCCCTTTCGCTCCGAGAGGGATCGGACCTCCTGCCAGCACGTTCACCACTCGGTCACCAGCTTCCAGCTGCTGAAGATCGCTGGAGACAGCCGCTGGGACGACATCATGTCGCGGCAAGATGACATCTGCAGGTCTCAAGTTTTCCTTCTTCGTGACTTTGACAGCTTTCTTGACCATCTCAATAAGTGCATCTGCACAGACTTCTATCTTCTCGATGATGTGAGTGCCACATGCGACTACACTCGCCGAGATCAGGGGGAGTCTTGCGATCTCTTTGCTCTTGATCCACTTCTTGATCTGCGTGAGGTACGACGAAGGATCTTCTGCGTCTTTGAAAATCTTAGCCGGGTCGATCTCTCGCATATCACTGTCTGCCTGAGCAAGGCCTGAAAAGAGGAGTGGAAACTTTTCTTTGTACTCGCCAATGACATCAAAAGCTTTCTGTGACAACTCCCATTGGGTACCCGTTTTCCTTGCGTAGCCTGGCATGCAAAAATTCTTCTTGTCAAATTTGATGTTCAGCCCTACATCATCTCCTCCTTTCATTCTCAGCGAACTGGTGATTCTGGACATGACCAGACCTGAGATGCGTAATGCCCTCGAAACTTGCTGGATGTCAAACCAAGCCATATCATCATCAGCCAACAATCTTTCTCCAAAGAATTGCTCTTCATATTTCACCTGCAAAGCAAGTCAGCCAATATTTATATGAATAAAGCAGCATTTCTTACGCTTGGAGTGACAGTCAGTTCAACGAGCAAACTGCCGTTGGCGTTATCCTTGACAGTGCATACTTCACCACGGAGCGGTTTGCGTAGGCAAATGACTTTGGAGCCGATAGGGTAGGTCGACTTGAAGTCTTTTTGACTGTCTTCAAGCTTCTTCTGGAGTTCCGGTGCACAGGTTGACGAAAGCTGCCATGGAATTTCTGACGACTTTTCTTCAAACCTCTTCATGATTTTCCCATGGGGTGACAGCACCTTTCCATTGATAAATGCTACATCCAGCACAACATCGATCGGCCCCACGTCTATGCCCTTCTTCGTCAAAATATTACTGCGGTGTAACTCCGAATCCCTTGAAAACTTCCACGAGGTCTCCTCCGGTTTCTTCCTGATATTCACGTTTCCATGAGGGCCTTTGATGGTCCAGTTGCTATCAGACACAGAGCGAATGGAACAATCAGTAAGGTAAGGCCACCCAACGAGAAACTCGCTGCCAATCAGATCCTGGAACTCCGTTGCGGATCTCTGTGGAATCTCATCGAAGACGATGACAACTGAGTCTCGACTGCTCGGCCTCCCGAAAATGTTAACTTTCGCATTCATAATCTCGTGGTGAAATTTATGTGGACAAGAAAAGAGTGATGGGAATCCAGCCTCACTGTCTTTACCGACCTTCACGCCGTCGCAAAGGACTGGCAAGAATCGTCCACCTCTCTCAATGGCAAATTCTGGCCAATTGTACTGAGAAATCCGACAGCATGTTGGAATGAGATCTGGCAAGTTGGGAATGGGAGAAGGGAGTTGATCCAAGACGCTTTCATCATACTCATACAACTTGTTGTAGCCAAAGCAGTTTCGTTTCTTTTCCTCATCAGAGAGTAGAACCTCTGAAACTTTGTCGTGCTCGGTCACAAGCAGATCAGCATCGATGAAGGGAATGACAGCAATCCCCTCCCACTCAAATTTCTTCCCCTCCATGTCCACCTCGAAGTCCAAAGGGTAGAAACCTGCTCGATTCAACGGGGAAACTGCGCTGTCCATGAGACAAGCGTACGCATCAGGGAGCAATTTGCGACTAGCAATGGGTAGGACACCAAGAAGCTGTTGAAAGGGTTTGAAAGGCTTTCCCAAATCGAATGATATCTCCATCTCTTCGAGTTCAATCAAGTCTGAAGCGAAAGGTGTATGATGATACGGATAAAACCACCCCCATGAGATGCATCCATTGTAATAGTAACTGTAGCACCACATAATCCCCTCAATGTAATGTTGCCGCAAAGCTTTGTGTCCTTCCACGTCATTTGAACGCAATCCAAATTTCCTCATGTAGTAGGCTTCCTTATATTCCTGAAATGCCGCTGCGTCAAACTCTCCCCCACCAAACGAGGAATCGCCCTTCGAGTCTTCAAGCTGTTGTTTCAACACCCTTCGTTCAATATCAGCCACTTTGGGAAAGAGCATTCCCAGCCGCGGCAGATCAATTTCACCACAAATGGTCAGGTAGTCGCCCCAGACTGGGAGCAGCTCTTTGTAAATTTGTACCAAATCATTAAGAGCCCCCGTGAGAATGTCTAAGAACGGAAGATGCGGCAAGAAGTCATTGCCAATGAGATAGCAAATCAACACGAAATCATCTACAATACGTTCCAAGTTCAATCCCCCCTTGTCAGCAAACACCGGAGCCACATCTTGAAAATCCAACCAGAGATAATCACGCAGGATTCCAATATGAAGGAGCTGAAAACCTTTGGATCGGTTCTTCTCCTCTATCTCCGCCTTGTTGGGCCTGTTGGTAGTGCCATCTTTGTTCCGTCTTGGCGGCCTGACATCATATGTTTCCCTTAAGAGCGCAAAGTGCGGCTCGTGAGTCGCGAGAGAGAGCATAATCAAGTCGGCATCATTCCCGAAAATACAGTGACGAAGGTTTGAAGGCCAACTTTCTTGACTTTTCTCTCGACGGATGTATTCCATAATCTTATGTTCACCTTCACCAGGCACTTCAGCTCCAGACAGAATAATCTTTGCTTTGGCCCATATCGGGTCGTCCTTGATCTTTGACTGAATGAAATAGTTGAGGAAGTTTGTCAGACGGGCCATAAATTGTGTTCCTGGCGTAATGCAATTCGAGTCGAAAGGATCCTGCGGAATTTCTTCCCCTCGTTCTCTTGCATTCATAAGTGACTTTGACAGTTCAGACGCAGCACGAAACCTTCTCTGCCTTTGTTGGTTCATCTTTGCGCGAGGAGCACAGCCATCTACAGCAAGAAACAGCAATCTCTGTGGCCTCACCACCTTCATGAGCTCATCCACAAACTTTCCTATGGCCACGAACATGTCGTTCTCCGTCATCCTCACCACTTCGCCGTCGTTTCCGTGCGTACATGGATGAATGATCCCGTTCATGTCCAAGTAGAGATTATCAAACTCAGGAAATATTGTACCAGCCTTAATGTCCTGGTTGATGAGCGGATATCGCTCTGACAGCCAGCGGAAGAATTTGGGGATACCCATGGCGGGAAATCAGATACCTGCAAGGCATGTCAGCAGATTGTTTGGCATGACCGATCAATGTCTTTGAGCCTTGCATCATATCCTCTCAACGCCAGATTTCTGAATGTATCCCAGGTTACAGCTCACTCCTACCGAAGTGTGGTGGCCTTTTTGCCTTGCTCTGATGAACAACATTTTTCTATCTCTCTCAAGCACTCGACATTTAAAACAGTTCATGAACATCAGCAACGCGCTTTATGGCGGCTGCTCCTTGTCCTCTCCGAAAACGTTTGGTCTTGTGTGTTGTGTGGAAATCGTTGCAGCATGATCAAACAACAAACTTGATCCAACATCCTCTCCTGTTACCATCTTAGCTTGGTTCTTCAATTCTAGAATTTGTCGTCTTCTGCTCCCTAACCTTTGCCCTCCCCTTACAGCACAGCTATATCTGCAAATGCAGCTGAACGCTCGAATCAGGCTTGCGGCTCCTGCCATGTGTACATCCACAGGTGACTCTTCCTTCTCGTCCTCTTCGATCACTCTTTCCTTCTCTTTCACTCCTCCTCCACCTGTCACTTTCTCTTCGTCGCCATATCTCGTCTCTTCCCCTCCCTATCCTCTGCCACCGCGGCGTTGACGCCATTTCGCAGGGATACGTAACCGTCTCCAAAACGGATATGTAACGGGCTCCACCTTGTCCAGTTGGGGCGGGCCCGAGTGGTATTTTAGATGGCAGGCATGTCGTGCTTGGTAATATAAATGGCAAGCTAGCGCATGCTCCTAAAGTAGCTGTCTGCTGCCAGAACTGAGGGGGTAGGGGTGGGGAGGAATCCGTGAATGGGGGTGGTACAATGCTTGCGTTTTACTGGAGCTTTTCAGAGGGGGTGGGGTACTTTGCCTTTCCGTGCAAATATAGGGTTTCTGAACGTACCAGCTGAGTCCATCTTTTACTGTAAAGGGGTACCTTTTCAGATGGGGTTCTGTATACCACCGGTGGTACCCGACACCCTGTTTCCCCAACTTCCTCCGGCATTATGGCGCGGCCTCTGAAGTTCGTGCGGGAGGACCTTGCACGCGTCTCCTACTCGCCTGTCCGACCCCTGGACGTCATCTCAGCCGAGATCGGTATCCCTCCTCACCAGATCGCCAAGCTCGATGCCAACGAGAACCTCCATCCGGTCCCCACTGAGATGATGGAGGCGCTGACCTCTGCCCTCACGTCCTTCTCCAGCGGCTGCTCAGCGCAGATCTACCCCGATCCCTCCCAGACTAACCTGAGGGCGGATATCGCAGCCATGCATGGAATCTCTCCCGATCGTGTGGTGGCAGGAAGCGGCTCTGATGACATTCTGGACATTATCATGAGGCTCGTGGACACTGACTCTTGCATCATCTGTCCCCCGACGTTCGGCATGTACAAGTTTCTGGGCACCATCATGCGCATCAACATCATCGAAGTCCCCAGAAAAGAAAACTTTCAAGTCGATGTGCCTGCCGTGGTCAAGGCCATCCGCGAAACAAAGTGCAAGCTCGTGATGCTGCCAAGCCCCAACAATCCTACGGGGACGATTCTTCCCAACGAAGACATCAGGGTCATTTGCCAGGAAGACTGCCTTGTCGTGATCGATGAAGCCTACTCAGACTTCGCTGGCGTCTCCGCTGAGGAGCTGCTTGACGAGTTCCCTAACCTCATTCTCTGCAGAACCTTCTCGAAATGGGCTGGTCTTGCTGGGATCCGCGTGGGATACGCTATCGGTCACCCCGATTTCATTGAGCGAATGCTGGCAATCAAGCAGCCATACAACGTCAATGTTGCTGCTGAGGCCATGGCGAGGGCTGCGCTGAAGCATAGGGAGAAAATCCTCGTGACGGTTCGTTCACTGCTGAATGAGCGGGAGAGAACGATAGAGTTCCTCAAGGCCTACAAGTTCCTCAGCCCGTACCCGACGCACTCAAACTTCGTGCTCTGCGACGTGAAGGGCGTGAATGCTGCTGGCATGAACAAGTACCTCCGCAAGAAGGGGGTGTTGACCAGATACTTTGGAACGCAAGGAGGTCAACTGCAGAACAACATCCGTATCTCCGCTGGACGCCCTGAAGACACCGAGAGACTTTTCGAAGCTCTCCGCTCCTTCGAGAAGGATCGATTCGATGCAGGAGCCTGTGAGGAACTCAGGAAGCACAAGGATGTCGAATGCTTGCTGTGGGATATGGACGGTGTGCTCGTCGACGTCTCGGGCTCCTACAGAGAAGCTATTCTGAAGACCGCTGCCCACTTCGGAGCGAACATAACGCACCAGGATATTGGAGCTGCGAAGGTGAAGAGTCATGGATGGCTGGGTTCAGGCTGAGACGATGTGCAGGCAAGAGGAGGAGCAAACAACGACTGGAAACTTACTTACGACCTCATTCACGCTCACAAGAAGACTGACGGGTCCTCCCCGACACTGGAAGAGGTAATTATCGTTCACCCTTGTCCACAAGAAGTTATCAGCTCTGTTGCGGTTGCTGACGTGCCTCGATCAGGTGACGAAGGAGTTCGAGCTTCTCTACCAGGGCACCCCAACATCTCCTGGTGCTTGTTGATACCGAAAGAGCGACAGTTGTCGTGATCTCTGTCGGCAGGATTGAAGAAGTTGGAAACTCTCTTGCCATCTTTGAAGGTGTTGGAAGAGTTGTCGAAAAAGGTGACCTACAACATAATTCACTCCCGGCAGCATAGTGATTTCCTCTCAGTACAAGATGGGGATAGTGACGGGAAGGCCAAAGTCAGATTGCGAATATGCGCTGCAAACTATGGGGATTGCACACATCTTCCAGCATTGCGGTTGTATGGAGGATGGGGTAGGAAGCAAGTGAGAGACGGCGGAAGGGATCTGACTGGACGTCAGATCAAACCAGACCCTGCGCCTGTGAAGAAGGTTCTTGCGGATCTTGGCTGCACCACAGCGCTGATGTAAGAGCTCTGGAGCTGTGTGGGACGACTGTAAGAGTGTCTCAGGTTCGGAGACACTGTCGATGACTGCCGAGCTGCCGTTGCTGCTGGGATTAAGGTGAGAGTTTTTATGTCAATCGAGCCTCTTCTCAGCGTCTGCACAGGCTATCGGAACTGTGGCTCCCGGTCACAGCAGAGACGCGGACCGTCCCATCCTGATTGAGGCTGGTGCTTCCCTCGTGCTGAGCGAGGGGGTGGCAGAACTGGAGGCCCTGCTGTAGTACGTTGAAAGCTGCATACCGTGCGACACTTTGAACAAACACTGTAACGACCGTGCTTGACGCGTTGAGCATCTAACGTGAGAGGGAGCCACTGATATATAATCAGTGTGAGAAAGACTTTTATTCGACTGAGAGCGAAACAAATTGCTGTCGAAACGATGTATGAGTAGTTGAAACAGGTATGAAGAGGATCAGCCGGAGCATGTATTGGTTGCTGTTGCGTCCATCTGGTCGGTGCTGACGCACTTGGCAACGCTCTCTCTCACTGCCTGCACCTCGTTTGTGTCGCAGCATCCCTGAGCATCGTAACACAAGGCAGGAACCAGGCTCGCAGCGCTTCCAGCGGAAGCAGAGGCTGAGCACATGCTGAAGGTGGACATGAGAAGGGAGAACATGCTGCACGCTGATGGGATGGGCGACCTCTTGTTCCTGCTAGCACAGCATGAGTCAAGAGAAGAGATACCAGAAGAATTGGATCAAACACATGCAAAGATTCGCTTCCTCACTTTAGCCTTCCTTTCCGTTTACGGTAAACAACTACCCACCTCCATACTGACACAAAACCATCTTTTTACATCTGCTGCTCCACAACCCTCCAAAAAGAGTAGGAATGCAAAGGCACAAAGCTCTCTTCTAGAATGATATTGTCTTCCGATGCATCATCGTAGAACGAGTTTGCAAGTGCTCAAATTCTATACAATTGTTTTCCATTTGGTCTTATCTGATGACGCCTCTGCTTCTCTAATCTTGCGCAACTCATTTCTCACAGTTTATTCTAATGAATTTTCTGACTTCTCTGTCTCTGTCAAACCCCCCAGCTTACCCTGCCTTGCCTCAATTTCTCGTCAACTTGTACTCAACTTTCCAAGTGCTCCATCCTTGCTGTGCTGTTCTGCACAAGTGTCTTTCTACCATTCACCCGCTATGACTCCACGCTGGTGTCATTGGCTCTTTCCTTGATACCTCCTCTCTCTCCCATCCCTCCGCCCTCTCCTCTCCTCCTCTCTCCACCTCTTCCCCTGCAACGCTGAAACCAGAGGAGTCCCAAAAGCGACATTCAGGCAATGGACCAGGGGTAAGGTAACAGTAAAATGGAGGGTGGTGGTCATGAAATAAGCGGGTAGTGGTTGGATAAAGAATGGGTAGGTGTAAAATTCACCCCTCCTTCTTATATCTTTAGAAGGGGTGTGTGTGTACCGGAAAAGAAGATTGCTGAATGGGGTGGTTAAGACCAACCTTGTTCACCTAGGGGACATATGGTACCAAAATAACCCCCCCCCCCGGGGGTCCAGAATTTTTCAAGGTCCCTTCTACTAGGGGTCGAAGGGGATAGAGAGTGGGGCCAAGGGGGTCTATGGTGCAACGGCTAGTGTGGAAGGGTTCAGTTAAGGCCAAGGGTCCATCAAGGCTCAGGGGTATTTTGTGGGTCCGCCTCAGGATTAAAAGTTTTATTCTTCTGGCGAAAGTTTGAGCAAAGTATCGCGTTGACTCACTGAGTCAGTATGAGAGAGTTTAGGTCAGTGTTGATTTTAAGGTTTAGGGTGAAGTAGTCGAATGAGATTTCGTCCAAGGTTGAATGGAAAGTGTTTCTGAAGTTTGACAAAGTCTGTTGTGTTTGAATGATTTGTGTTTGTCACGATGTTGTGTAATGTTCAGTGATGTTGCCATGAAAGTTTTGAGTTTGTAGTAATGTATTTTGATATATAGTCAATTAGGAGAAGGCTAAAGTTTTACGCGATGTTCTAAGTTTTACGCGTCGGAGTCGGAGTCAGAGTCAGAGTCGACATCGAGACCTGTATCGGAATCGGAATTGAACTCGGAAGTGACGCTTATATGGGAAGTCAAAGTCGATATCTGTGGTATTCTGCGGATCGATGAGGAAGGTCTTGATGATGATGTAGAGAGTTGTTGTGAGGTGGGATCTGTAGATTTGCTGGAAGTTGTATACTTCGGCCCATGATGAGGTAAAGGTGCGTTTGTCGGCGTTGTAGATGTTCTGTGATGGCAAATCACTAAGGAATGCGAGGAAGATTCCTGCGAGAGCTGTGAAGGTCTGAATGTGGAGTTGTCCAATGATGATATAGTCCAATACGGCCTTTGCTGGGACGACAAGGTTGAGCTTCTCTGCGAGGAATCCGTCGTATGCGGTTGGAGTATCGATGTGTGTCTGAAGCCTGTTGTAGAGAGCTGTGGTATCGATGACCAAACCGGGTTGAATGGGTTGAGGGTTGTGTTGGGGCTTTGAATTTGTTGATAGTCCGATGGAGTGATATCGAGTCCCATGATGAGTTCAACACATCGGTTGCCACCGGTATGACATCACCAAGACGTTTTCCCGGGTCGCTTGTGTAGAGGTTGTAATCTCAGTACTTCGGTTCTGTTGATCTTGTACAATCCATCCAGGTCTGAATCAGTTGGTAAATCGAGGAGCTGTTGAACAAAGAGATCTGCTTGTTTTCTGATGGCTCGCTCGATGATGTTTCTGGAGTACAGATCGTGTTGTTTGTGGAGGGGGCCCGGGGGAGGCTGAAGATGATTTTGCTGACTCTTCAACGGTTGGGAACAGCTTGTCCAATGATCTGGAGAGGTTTGGGATAGTGTTGAACTTCATATCCGAGATTGCGCAACGGGTGATGAATGCGTGTTGTTCTTCATCTTCCGAGTCTGTGGCTTTGACGGAGACTGTGACCATGGCTGTGACTGGAGGTTTGTAGATTGGAGAACGTTGATGTATTCTGTTGTTGTCTTGGTGGTGTTCTTAGAGTGGCAAGTTGGTTTGCTTCAAAGTCGAATTCTTCAAGAAGAGATCTTTTCACCTTGCGATTTGGAGTGGCAGGAGTTGAATCTGTGTCGCTGTTGTCGATTTGGTCGTGTCTTTTGCACCAACATCAGAATACACCCTAATAATAATACCAACAACAATACCAACATCAGAATACACCCTAATAATAATACCAACAACAATACCAACATCAGAATACACCCTAATAATAATACCAACAACAATCAACATCAGAATACACCCTAATAATAATACCAACACATACAAACAATAATACCCTAAAAACACCCTAAAATTCACCTAAAATTCACCTAAAATCCCCTCTAAAACCACCCACCCCCTCCAAACCCCATCCAAAAACGTACTTTCACCCAAGAAAGGGTGGGTACTGCTATATAAGGCCCCTACAAATTGAAAAAATTTTCACATATATATATGAAATTTTTTTAGGAAGAAACGGAGAAGTGGGGAGGGGGGCCAGGCCGGGGGGATGGCAGCCTCGTGGATGGCGGAGGGCGGAGGGTGGTGGATGATGGGAGGGATGATGATGTTCGGTGTGATCGTGTTGCTGATGAGGAAAGAACAAGAGATGATCCGCTTCAACATGGGTGGCGAAGGCGACAAGGAGAACGACTGAGGATGAGTGACGTATGTTATAAAGTCTTTATTACGCCAGTGTCGAAGGATCAGTCGACGTGAGCGTCGATGTTTGAAGGTTTGAGTTTGAGGAGAATCTCACTTGGGAAGTCTAGCTGGACCAAAATTCTATCTCCTTCCTGTCCCGTTACCATCCCAAGCCTTCCGTTGTATTCGGGGCGTGCAGCCAGGCCCACCACCCGCACTCTTTTGCCCACGTAGATGTCGTCTCCTCCTGTGGATCCTCCTCCAATATGAGCCCGAGGACCACTTCTGGAGTTTCCGTTCTCGATGCCCAGGACGGCAGTCCTGACAATCATGTACCCACTTGCTGCCACGGACCCGTAGAGGGCGATCAAGTAGGTCGCCACCATGGAGATGGCAGCGATGGAGAAGAGAAGGAAGGAGACGACAGCAGTCACGGGATCAGGTTGGTAGCTCCTGACCACATCCCACAAGTACCAGATAAACGCCAGCAATGCCCCGACTAGTCCCAGTGTGAAGTTGAAGAGAACTTGTATCACGAAGCGGAGGATGAATGACGCGAGGCCCTCGTCCCGTCCCATTGAACCCAAGCCCATGAAGAGCAGGTCCCACATGCTGGCTCGCTTAGCAAAACCCTTCCCTTGAGCGAACGTTCCCCAGAACAGCTCACGTGCCTCTTCGACTGCATACAAACTCAAGATTCCGACTTTGGACTTGGCCTCGGACAGAGCCTGGAACTGCTGGCTCTTCGCCTCTTTCAGCTCCTTCTGAAGCTTCTGCAAGTTATCATAGGCTCGCATGCAGGAGCTGTCGCAAGAGAATCCCAGGAAGCCCCTGCTTTCGTGATACTTCCGGCTATGAGCAGCAACCTTGCGTTCGAGCTGGTCCACCATCGAGGTCTCATACTGTGCTTCCTGCAACAAGCGGGAATATTCCTCGTTGGCACCTTCAGAGGGCATCATTCCAGTCGCAAAAAGCATAAGGCAAAGCCCGAGGATGTACAGGAACGTCGTTATTGGGAATTTTTGAACGATTGCCTTCGCTCCTCTGTAAACGACGACTTGAATTGGAGGAAGGTCTTCGGCTGTAAGTCGAGTTGGAGTGTGCCTGGAAACATCTCTTCTTCGCCCATCCATTCTGACGGAAAGATTCTGCGAAAGAAAAAGAACCATGTCAAAGATTCAACATCACAAAAGGTTCAGCTTGCGTTTGAAAAAGCGAGAGTGACCCACATCAACAGTGAGAGCAAATGCACTAGAAAACGAGAGACAAGAATGCAGGAACAACCATCAACTGAAATCAAACATACACACAACAAGATCAACTCTCTTTTATCTCCTCCTTCAACTGCTCGCGCTCCCTTCCCGCCTCCCCGGCATGACTCATTGCCCCTAGCCTCATCCCCCCTCTTCCCCGAAAAGTGAAGTAGTGGCCAGAGTAGTGGCCAGGCGGCGCCGTGACTGAATGATAACCGTTAAACCGTTGTAACCGTCGAGCTCCGGAAGTCACTTGGCGGGAAATCTTGTGGGGTCAGTACCTGGACGAGGAGGAGGCTCGGATGCGAGTGGAGGGCGCCGATGGTGGGGCTGGGAGCCTGGGAGCAAGTCTCAAGTCTCTTGGCTTTCATCTCGAGGATGGCTGGCTGCGACAGGTGAGGTCTTCACTACCGCTGTGTGAGATGAGAATGCTTGCAGGCACATCGAGCATGTAGAAGAACGGGGAGAGATGCCGACAAAGAACTCTATGAGCTCGCGCTCTACTCCGATCTCAGACTGTCAGGCAGAGCTTGTCTGCCTCCTGGGATAAGGTCTATGCACAAGCAAACAGTGAGCGGAACATTCGTGCTCCAGGTAAGAATAAAATGACCGAGTTGGTCGCTGTGTGAAACAGCATTTTCAGATCGACGAAGTCATCAACATCTCAGAGCCGAATGAGCACCGATTGGCAGATACGAGAGGAAGGATGTTGAAACTACTTCTCACGGATGGAACCGAAAATATTTGTGGGTTGGAGTTGAATGAGATCCGAGATTTGAGCGTGAATTCTCCCGCGGGTGTGAAAGTACTTGTCAAGGATTTTGAGATGAGACGCGGTGTGGCTCTATTTGGTCCGCACAATCTCTGTGTTCTTGGGGGTATGTGCTCAGATCTAGAGAAGAAGAGGCAAAAGGCCATGGCCGAGCTGGAGAAATCCAGGAAAAGACTTCAGTTGATTGCAAATGATCCTATGGACGACGAAATCAGCAATCAGGAGGATTTTGATGCCAACCAGCCAAGTCGGCGACGAGAAGTGAATGCGTTGGCTCAATCAGGGAGCCGAATATCTGCCAACGACTTCATGAGGAGCACGAATCAGAACAGGGGCAATGTGATTGGTGAAAGGATTGGTGAACCCGTGTACGAAACCCTCGACCGATCTTCTGCTACCACTCGCTCTGAGCATGCGCCTCTTTCGTTCACTTTCTTAAATGACGAACAGTCAGGCCCTGTTTCTGAAGTGCAGGATCATCCGCCCCATTCTTCTGAACACGACATCGTCATGTATGAGGAGCTCGATCGAGCGGCGGCGGCGGCGGAGGCAGAAGCGGTGGAGGAGGAGGATACAGCAGATCTGATCTCCGAAGATCCGGCTTATGCCATCATGCTGGTCCTGCCTCTGCTTTGATGAGATTGCTCTGAATTCTAGTGTGCAGGAAGCCGAGGCCGAAGAACAACAGGAGCGACCTAGAGCACCTGCAGCAGCCAACGTACCAGCACCGAAGGAGGCGGACCGATGTGAAGCTATAGAAGTCAACCGAAGTCAACCATGTGCGCAACTGTTCTACCTCATCGATCTCAAAGACCAGAAAGACTTCCAGAAAGCTTTCCGAGTGAAAGCAGCCGTTACCCACGTGGTCAAATTCTTGTTTGATGGAGAATTCTCCTTGCTCGTGGGAATCGATGATGGTTCACAGACAAGCACCATACAATTACCTGACGCCATGGTTGCTTCAATCATGGGGATCAGCTGCAGGTGAAGCATACATCATCGCGTGCCCTTGTTGTTGAACTTGTTTATTTCAGAGAATATTGTTCGTTAGATAAGAAGGCAAAAAGCACATGCAGGTGGGTTCGCTTGCGGCTCGCACCAACGCATGCTGATTGTTGTTATCAGACACAAGTTTTCAGCTAGGCTCACTCATCTCGAGGGAGTGTTCACTCTAAGAAGAATCTCCAACGCGGGTTCGGTGAATGATCATGGGGCTCCTGAATGGGAGGTGGTGAGTTTAGATCCCGTAGGGCGTGAAGATGCTTATTTTTTCCTGCAACGATGCAAGAATAGAGCATAGAATTCAAGTCGATCGACTCCTTTTCTCTCTTCTCGACGCTTCCAGCAGTCTCGCTCGATGTGCATGAGCGCACAACACAAAACTTACACGAGTCGATGAGGAGCTTGATCCGCGTTCCTCTGACCTCTCCGCCTGAGTCATCCTGGTCTCAAGAGCCCCTCTCAGAGTCTCGTTGCTCCTCCTCTAGCATGCTTCCCCTGGCAGCGCCAAGAGCTTTGGAAAGGAGAGGTGGGGGCGGGAGGTGGAAGGAGGAGGGAGGGCGCCGGTGTGAGGCCCAGGGATGGCGGGAGGGACGGCCAAGGCCATGGCGCGCGGGCTGGCGTTGCTGAGCTGCCTGAGGCTGACGAGCAGGTCTGCTGCTGGAGGTTCCTGTGCTCGATTGGCTGAAGGATGGCAGTGTGTGGAACTACCAGTGCTCTCAGAGTGACCAACAACATGCTGGGGCTGTTAGGGTTGGTGCTTCGCACCCCCAGCGCCTTCTGTGACTCCTGTGCTGCAGGATGTGCGCAGCTGCTTCCAAGACTCCTTCCACCGCCGCCTGTCCTACATGGGTTCAGATCGAACTTGACAACGCGTGCTCCTCATGCACACAGCCGACATGCGCATCCAGACAGTACTCCGCAGAGCAGTTCAACTTCTTCCAGGGGTATGATGAGACCTCCTCTGCTCTCTTCGTGACCACAAGGAACTGGGCAGGGCTCGTCCTCTCACGCAAGGCGGAGCTGTGATCGATTGGACGAGCGAGCTTGAGACGTGCGGGGGAAGATACACCAAGTACGCCCAGCTCCTCTCTCACGCTTGTTGAGCTACTTGCAGATGCAGTCTGGCCAAGTGTTCGACTCAGTGGATGCTGATCGAGAGGTATACCGACAGCACATGCTCGACCAACCCGTACGAGATCATCTACCGCAAGGCCACGAGGAATGCTCTCGTGAGTTGAGTGATGGAGGAGGAGGCAACCTTGTCAACGGAATTTGCTGCAGCTGATGAAGGTCGACCAACCATGCACACCCCTCAATTGCCAGAAGAAGACCTACTTCAACAAGATCACCTATTATGAGTCAAGGTTCCTGTCTGTCTACTGATCATCTTTTCTCTGAGAAAAGCATCACAGGATTTGTACCAACCAGCTCTTCTCAAATCCATCTCAGTTGACGTCCTTGCTAACGCCTGATGCGACATACCTCACGACCTTGTAGACTCTTTATTCGCTCTGGAGCTTGAACTGACCTCACAACAGTTACTTCTCAGAGACGGCAACCAGTTGTGGCGTTAACAATCTGAACGCGATTCATCTGGTTGGACAATCGCAGTGCATTCCCTACATGGTTTGATACCCGTGACACGATTCCTCGTCCTGATTGCATGCAGGACATTTTCACGGATGCTCTTCCGTCAAGTGAGGACTACTTGAGCTACACTTGCAGCACCAGAGCATTGTCTCACTGTCGTGACAGCACCGTATGCAACTTCGTCGCTGTCTACATGAGTCTGACGAAGTTTCAAGTGTTCCAACTGTTATTCCAATCAGACGTTTTCGTCGACGTCGCAGCAGTACGTCTTGGAGATGCTTTTGAACTCGTCCATGATCTCCTCGACTTGTGACGCTTGTCTTGGTTTGCTGCAGATGCACTCAAATGAATCAAAATATGACGAAGTTAGCGATTCAAAGCAACGCACAGCTCTGTACTTCTCTCATCATACAAGATTTCTACAGTGATTCGACGTGTACCAATGTGATTCAGCAGGTTTTATACTTTCACTCATGCCAACCCTGACTCTTTCAAACCATCTGATAGCAGGAGCCGCCATCACTTCAGCATGCAAGCCTCAAAGTTGTCTGCCGCTTGACACGAGCAATACCAGTCAAGGCACCAATTACATGTCGGTCTACTGCCTTACTAACTTCCCTTCTCCTCCTTCGCCGATTCCTGGCAAACTCGTGAGATTGATCTCAACCCTCCATTGTCAACCCCACGTGCTCAGGCCGCCCCGTCGAGATTCTCTACACGTTGGATAAGTGTGTGACGTTGAGCTGATTTTGTGTATCTGATGAGTTGAGCAGCATGTGCGTATGGAATACGGACACCCCCCTCCCTCCC